CATCCCACGCAGCAGCCAAGAAAACAGTTATTACAGAGATAAGTTATTTTTGATTAAAAACAAACCTCATCAAAACTTCAAAACAGATGGATAAGCAAAAATATGCTATGACAACAGAAAGAAATAGCAATTATTTAAAGATGTCCTTAGGGAGGAGAGCTTTTAAAGCAAAGAGAGAATGAATGAGCCAATCTCCAGGGGCTACAGGTTGCACACAGCTGGGGACTGCCGTGTCAGGAGCTCACTATCACTTCTGATCCCAGGTGCCACGAGGGAAATACTAACCACGAAATCTAACATGAATGCAATAAACAAGAGTCCTGAAAAAAACTTCTTACCTTAACACCAAACACCCATTATACTGGAAAACAGCTGCAGAACTATACATCCATTTTGCTTCTTTAAGGAATCTTTTCACTAGTGATAGCAAAAAGCTTTTTTTTTTTTTTTCTTCCCTTTCCCCTCCTCTGAGGGAATATCTCTGTGCATTGCACATATGAGCTACTGCTGTGCTATAATTGTCACAGAAAGGAAATTAACAGGATTCTAATGAGGAGCTTTGTTGCAGACAAGTTATCATCTTGCAAGGCTGAGAACCTCTTAATATAGACTATCGTTTCTCCCCACTGCAAACCCTGGTAACTCTACCTTGGCAAACAGTTAATTGCTAGAGAAACAGGGATCTGAGGGCCACCACAGAGCACACAGAGCACAGATGGACTTCAGAAGCAACTTGGAGAGGAAAAACTTGAGATAATAAACTCCAATCCATCTTCACATTCATTCATGTGGGCAACCTTTTCTATGCCTGCAAAGAAAATACAGCTATAGGTTCTTCCTGCATGGGAAGTGGCTAAAAAGGTCAGCTCATGAATTTGCAACAAAAAACCCTCAGCACAGGGACCCAGCATCTGTCACCCAAACCTCCTAGAGCAAATCAGAGCAGTTCACTCATAGGTCCTTTTTCCACACAGGGCAGCCCCCCAAGAGCTTTTACAACCCTGCCCAGCTCTCACGATTGGAAACAACTGCAGAGCCCCTCGTAAGGGCCCAAGGGCAGCATCAGAGCTCAGACAGAGCCAACCTGGGAAGGCAACAACTTTGGAACCAAAATGGAAACCTAAAGCACTGCATGCAAACATAACCCTAGCAAGACGTTAGACAGCAAATTAAGACTGGTTCATGCCTCTTCAACTATACTCTTAGGGAAAAAAAATCTTTAAAGACCACAGAGTTTACAGCATTATACCTAAAAGGCAGTTGCAAAGAGCTCTTTCAGTAACATTAATAAGCTTTGTGGCTAGAACAATATAGGCTCACATTTTAGGATTACCATGAATCAGACTATATGTGCTACTTTTGGCTTCTCCCTGATTCATAATTCCTTTCCCTTTTGCAGGGATGTCAATGCTTTACCTCCTAAATAAGAGAAATAGTAGGAGAAAATGAGATCCGATCTCATGCCTGACTTCCAACATATGCTGAAGGACTGTCATCCTCATCCTCATCCTCCATACTCTCTACATTACACTAACAACTTTTTCAAGCCCCCCACTGAAAAGTTTCCAGCACAGACTCTTTATTTCCACCTGCTGCTCTGTTCTGCCCAGTAGCTGTTAGTGGCAGCAGCTGATTCTAATAATCTCTTTGGTCCTAGCTAGGGAGGATAATTAAATCTCCCATTAACCCTTTTTTGAACAGTTAGAGACCATAAGGGGGAGTATCAGGTCAATCCTACACTGCTTAAGAGGAGTCTCTGCTCTTTTTTAGCTGTCACCTGATAAGATCACAGCAGACATTGGTAGATTCATTCCAAATTAAAAGAGTTGTTTGAAATTGAGAGCCATTAATAACTCAAGGTTAATTTCCAACATAAAACCAAGTCATGCTTACAATTAATCCTGGACTGACAAGTTTCCAGATAGGAGGTCAAAGCTGAGGGGTGAGGGATGCATCTCTGAGGGAGCTGAAGCAAGTTCTCTGTCCTCTCAGTGACTTTGCACCAAGGCCAGCCAATTCACACATCAGAATGAACAGGAGGAGAAGATGCAGCCTGGTTTTGGAAAACAGAGCGGAAGAATTTGTCAGGAAACAGTGTCTGTATCAGAGGAAAGAACAAATTAGGCTACTGTGGGGAGGGATGAATGCAGAATTGACTGAACTGCCTCTTCTTCTCCCCACCAACCAGCCCTCAACTACAGCAGTACAACTTCAGCTCTTCTTTGCATGCTCTATGGGTAGGTTCCTTTTCTCTCACAGTGACTTATTATCCTCGCAGGACCCAGGAACTCTTGGCAAGTGGCACACTGAAGTTTGCAACTCTCACCTTGGTGGCAGAACTATGCAGATTTTCACAGAGATCCTGAGCCACCTGCCCAAAGGCAGCAACAGCAGTTCTAGCTATCAAGACTCCTGTGTTCCCTTTCGAGCTTTCGGTCGAAGCAATGTCCTCTCCCTAAGCTGATGAAGGTGTCCGGGTTGCATAGCAATCTATGCTGTTCTTCATCTATACACTGGCCCTTGTGCCCTTCTCCAGCGACACGATCGCTTGTCCGCTCATTTGGAACATAACTAAAGGTTTTATTTCATGTAAAATTCTCAGATTTATATTGTGCATATCCCCAAGATGACATTTCATTTCCAGTTACTAAGGAGATCTGTTCATTAAAAATCTAGGTAAGACTTGAGTTTAAAGTTCTCTCACTATTCACTGGCTCTGAGTTCCCTCCATCATTCTCCTGTTACTGAAGTATAACACACTAACATCTTTACTTGTATGGTCCATCATTCTCCTGTTACTGAAGTATAATAGCACACTAACATCTTTACTTGTATGGATTTTCAGGGAATGGGAATGGATTTTACTAAATTCCTTTCTATATTATAATGTAGTCTGCCATTGAAGCCCTTCTAAAGACATACAGGAAGAGTTTAAGATATTGTTGTCCCAAATATGCATCTGTCTATGTTACCATTTGGAAAAAATACATGATTTTAAACAAGTTAGAGTTAAAAGGGAAAGTAACTTTCTAAGTTTCTGTGCTTGAAATCATATACTTAGAAAAAAAGAATTAATTTCTTTTTATAACCTGTGAAATATTCATGACTGAATTAGTATTAAGGCTTTAAATAAAATTTTCAAGAGCACTTAAAGGAATCAAAGCTAACCAGGATTTATCTCCTGTGAGGATAAGGATCTCACACACGGCTCTCAAAAGCAGGACTTGGGCTCCCAAGTCACTGAGGTGTCCTTAAACTTTACCAGACAGCTGTACAGATGATTCACCCCAGAAAGCCAGGTTATCCCCCTTGTCCTGCTGAGTGCTCCCAGCTCGTGGCTTACCAAGGCCACGTCCAAGTGTTTAGTTGAAAGGGGAACCCTCATGTTGACCAGCAGCTGGACTGCAGCACTTCATGGTCTACAGATCCTTCACCAACTTAGTCCTGGAGGAAAGACAGGCAATAACTTCATGCATATGAATAAGAAATGAGATACGCTTCACTTGTGCTGTAACAGGGGAGACTTTGTGAGCTTTAGGAAACACTTGGCTGCAAGAGGAGGCTAAAGGGAATTTGCTGCCTGCTGGCAGGAGCAGCACGGGTGTTATCGAACACATGGGAGGCTCCAGGAGCGGGAAATCCAAGAGCGTGGTGGGAAGCCGCAGGGTATATCGTGTTTCACGCACCGATTGCCACACCGAGGCACGTCAAGCGCACGACACATTTAGCACTGCTGCCACAAGTGACATGACAAGCCACTGGCTTCTGCACAGAACGACCCA